TCTGGTTCCAATACTTCACACCACTCTGGCTACATACCCTTCCTGTCTTCTGAATGTAGTAAAGCAAAGAGCATAATGAGAATATAAAAATACCCTAAATTTTCTTAAATATCTTTTGAATTAAGGTAATAATCTAAAACCTGAGCTTATGACTGAAAATAAATGATTTAAGGAAGATAGAAAATTTCGTCATCTTGCATCCACAGCTTTCAGTCTCTTTTCCAGTCTCTGGCAAAATTACTGGAACCTTAGAGCAGAGCAAAATCTGAGCAGAGGCTAGCAAAAATCTGAATGTTTATGCAGAAAAGATAAAAAAATATTCTTTTGGGATAGAATAAGTATTACTGTCAAATATCTGCAAGGTTAGATTGTTTCAACATGAACAAGGACAACTTGTGCTTAAAAATGTCTGTTTTCTAGATATTCTAGTATGGGACCTACAGTGAACCACAGACCATAAATGCGCTAACAATATGACCTGCTCTGCTTGTACCGCAAAGCCCGTATAACATTATGTTAGTTGAAAAAGGGCTGCTTGATAAAATTTATATGCTGGTTAATAAAAAAATCTGTTATCTTATTTTCCCAGCAAGCACAAGACCTAAGGCAAGAGAATAGCAACACAGCAGGGTCAAAAATTAAGAAGAGTCAAAGTGATAACTGTGAAATATTTGGAAATACAGGGATGCCTACTTAGATAGCACAAAAATGCATCCAAGCTCAGGCTGCTAACAGTTTTTAAGACAGGACTGTGTAAACCCAAGTAATCGAGTAGCTCACCAAATGGTTGGATTTGTCAATACTTGTCTGCACCCCATCTTGCAGTATCAGGATTGCCTGTTTCACCTCTTTTTTTCCCTATACTCCCAGGCCCAGCTGCAGTAAAACTCGCCTGACTCGTGTTTCCTACATACCCTTCCTAGGCCTGCCAGCAGTATGTACTATAACCAGTGCAAAAGCTGCACGTGTGCTGGCAGGTGGCTGTGTGGCAGGAACGCTTGTTGACCAAGCAGATTATCACTGTCGTACAGATGCTGCATGGACCAGGCAGCACGTACTGCCCCACCTTTGCTCGGTAAGGTACACAAATCACTGTGTATGAGCTCTTTAGCTAGACCTGACCTAAGCGAACCAGAAACTGTAACACAGACTACCCCGAGTGGGTTAAAAAACTCAGTAGAGCAGTAGGGTAACAGAACATGCTGAGCTGTGCAGCCAATTCTGTGCTGGTACCAGTAGCCATCAGTATTGGTTTAAAGGTGGCATGGCTGCATCCTAAATATATTCTCTGTTGTAGTCAGCAAAAGCATATGATACTCCTATTTTATTCCTTTCAGCTATGAGTACAGTATTACCTTTTCTCTTAGAAGAGGAGAAATACTCTTTCACACCACAACTTTTATCTCAAAATACTCACTAAACTCCCAATTCCAATACTTCTAAGTAAAGAGATTATCTGTTAAGATATCTCCCATCCTGCCTTAAATGTTCATATTTCAGACTTTTAGCAGTGCTGTTATTCCACCATGAAGTTTTAAAGGCTATATCAAACCCAAATGTCTGTCAAAAAAATCCAGTAAACACTTCTTCATATTTAATAAAAAACCACTTCTGTGCTATTTTTATCATTCCATAAAAGCTATAAGGAAATTCACATATTGATTTTTTTCCCCTCTCTTGGTAGTTTTTGTGGTTAAATATGCATTACCCATAATACTTATTTTATGTCTGTTGGAAAAATATACACTTAGGTTCCACTTATTTTTTCACCAGGGAAACGTTATAAAATTCATAATAATAAATTATATATAAGAAAGATTTATACTGAGCCTAGAAGAGTACATTTAGGCACAAATACCTGAAACAACACCAATTCCGTCATCACAGTCATAATCGGAGACTTCACTGTCGCTGATTCTTTTGGACCCTGCCAAAAAAAAAAGATCAGAAATGTATTATTTATCTTCCTGTAAGTTAAAACTACCCTCAGCCAATAATACATAAATAAATGTAAGGATTTTATACTGGACAATGAAGCTTTAAAATAAGCATATAAGGGAAATAATTAGCGTGGCATTATTCCAAACATATACGTGTATCAACTATTTTCCCCTAAATGTTTAATGTAATATAAAATGAAATGCTGAAATACAGCTCCACAACACTGCTTTTATGAAATATTTTCATATACTTCGTATCTGTATGTATTCACTCCACATGGGAACTGGCACCACACTGTTCATCTTCCAAGTTTTAATATACAAGGCACTATCCCTCCACAAAGTCTTTGAACACCAGAAGAATAAATTATAGTAATAACATTAAATGGATGCAATATTTTTTTTTAGGGTATTAGTAAGCATTATCAGGAGAATAAGCATCTTCACATACATAGTGTGTCCTGAAAAACAAAATCTCTCTGTGATGTTTTAGCGAAAGCAAGCTATTAAATGCTCTATAAGAATACACCTATCAAATTAGCTAGAGCTTAGATGGCAATGGCAGATTCCATATCCACAATTAAAGCGAAAATTTAGGCCATGTAGGACAAATAGATGTGTCAGTTTATGTTTAGCTAAATTTTACTTCCATCTTCTGTGGCATCTTTTAAACAGCATTTGATTGCTCACGTTAGGATTAAGCATTGGCATGTAAACAGTAATCATTCATTTACTCATTTTAAATGTGAAAATCCCCATTCTTCAGCAAGATGGTGTGTCTATTCTGATTCTCTGGCCACCTAAAAACAGGTACTTAGTAGGTAGAAGATTTAATCTAATTGTCACTAAAACCTTCCATCATGTGCAAGATTTTTTTATTCCTACCACAGAATGATTTATTCTGAAAAACATACACAAAAAAATACCAGTAAAAAATGAGAGAAAACTTAAAGAAGCCCAGGACAAAGCAGGATCAACATTCTATCTGGGTGACTGGCACAGCAGGATCCCTACCCTCTCTTCCCAACAGAAAACTAGGAGAACAAGTGCTCAGAGGATTTTCAACAAAAATACAAACTTTTCAATTTAAAGACATTTTAGACATTATTTGAATGGTAAGAACTGCTGTCATCTGTCAGACTGTCTGACATCCGTCTACCCACCAGGGGATAGTGGAACATCCTTCTTTAGCAAAGCATGCTTACAAAACCTGTATGGAAAAACTTTTCGGTGTTGTATCCCTCTAGCTTTCAGCAGGCAGAGGTTCTAGCAACTGAGACTTCTAAACCAGACTGTTTACCACAAGCCATTAACCAACTTATTCTACACAAATTCATATAATTTCTTTTTGAGTCAGAATATTCTCTTGGTTTCTGTAACATGCTATGTCAGTAAATTCTGCAGTTTAATTTCACATTGTGTATATGAAAGTTTCACTTCACATTGTGTATGTCTGTTTTATTGCTATTACATTGTTTCAGACCATGCCCTCCAAGCTATTTTATTCTGAGAAACATGAATCAGCATTCTGTATTCTCCCACAGTCCTCTCTTTTTTTTTGAGCTATAACATCGTTTTTATTAGTTTCTTTGCATATGCAAACCTTCTATTTCTCTGATTGTTCCTGCTGTATTTGTTTGTATGTTTTCTAGTTCTTCTGTGCCTTTTATGAGAAGTCAGAAGTGATGGCAGCAGTCAAGATGTGGGTGTATGAATTTATGAACTAGACTGCAGCCTATTTCATTCTGGGATAAAAATTGCTCTGATAAAAATTATTCAACTAGAAAATGGTGTAAGTGTGATATGTGTTAGTTCGTAGAAAACAGTCTAGCCTGCCAGTACATTATGCAATTCCAGTACGGCAATGGTGATTATTGCTATTTAATTGCAGTAAAGGTTGGGGGTTTTTAGCTCACAAATAGGAAATTAAAATTAGTACAAGGAAAGCCATGCTTTTGTTTCTTACACCCTGCAATTCTTACATGGTAGAATTCAGGTAGCTTCAGTTTATAATAAAAGTTCAGAAATAGCCATGCTACAATGGGGAAGGTGAAAGGAGTCGTCAAATTAAATAAATGACCAGAAGTACAGTCTTTCTCTAAAACAAGAGATAGCAAGCAAGTGATCACGTTTAACACTCAAGAAAGACTAGAAGATGAGGGCAGGTGTGAAGAAAAACTTTTCAGCCTCTTAATGGACTTTCTGAGAATCAGCATTTCTAAAAGCAACAGAGTCCGGTAAGAACAACATTCAACGTGATTATTTTCTTAATTATAGTATCGTAGAGAACCAATGAAAATCTCTGCTGCTTCACAAAGAAAGAGCATCCACTCTGCCTGTGATGCTGTTCCTGCTTCATTTTCAGTAGAGCCTTCTACCTGTGTGGTGATCTACATGCCAGTGAGCAAGAAGGGTTAGTCTCCATTCTCCTTAGCCGCTAATTCAAAACCAGGATATTAAATAAGAAGGACAATATTTGTGACCAAACACTAAGCAAGACAGCCCTACTAGTCTGGCTGGGATTTGTCTAGGATCTAAAAGGCAGAAGCCCCCACAGGGAGCGCAGACCAGTGCGATTTTGGACTCTGGTAACCCTTGCACTGATCTGGCAGCGGGACTGCGGTTGCTGTGCAGAGATGCCAATAAAATCACTCCAGCTCTGTCAGAGAGAGAGGATTGTGGAATGCGAAGATGAGGGCAACTGAACAGTCTGCTGATGCTCATCACATGGATTCTGGGAAAGGTTTCTATCATGCCAGACGTAAGAGGGCTGAATCAAATATGATTTGAATCAATGTCATTTACTCATCATCTAATTCATCCTTATGAATGAATCTAATTAATTACAACTGAGTTGCTTTTTATCAATGTTTATATTTACTACTGAGTACATCTGCTTTAACATATTTTTAGACTATTATATTCTGTATTCTAGAGAAAAGATTTGCATCTCTGAGGATGAAAATGGCCAGCTGTTGTCACAGTGGGCTCTAGACTTCCCAGTTGCACAGCTAAAATTTTATATTGTGGTAGTCACAAGATATATCTGCCAGAAAAGAGAGACTAAGAAGCTTCAAGAGACCACAGGCATAAAAGACAGGGGTCTCTCTCTCTCTCTGTCCTCTCAAACTGCATTCACCTTTTGCAGAATCTCCTAATATCTCCACTCCAAATCACCTTCCAGGATCTAGAGACCCTTTTCTCTTTTTGTATACAGACCTCTGTCTTCACTCCTCACCTGGAGCACAGCGTCCAGCTCTGGAGCCCTCAGCACAGGAAAGACACGGACCTGTTAGAGCGTTTCCAGAGCAGGGCCATAAAAATGATCAGAAGGATGGAACACCTCTCCTATGAAGAAAGGCTGAGAGAGTTGGGGCTGTGCAGCCTGGAGAAGAGAAGGCTCCAGGGAGACCGTGTAGCAGCCTTCCAGTACCTGAAAGGGCGCTTACAAGAAAGATAGGAACAGACATTTTAGCATGGCCTGTTGCAACAGGACAAGGGTAATGGTTTTAAACTAAAACTGGGTAGATTCAGACTGGATATAAGGAAGAAATATTTTATGATGAGGGTGGTGAAACACTGGCACAGGTTGCCCAGAGAGGTGGTAGATGCCCCATCCCTGGAAACATTCAGGGTCAGGTTGGACGGGGCTCTGAGCAACCTGATCAAGTTGAAGATGTCCCTGCTCACTGCAGGGAGGGAGTTGGACTAGATGACTTTTAAAGATCCCTTCCAACCCAAAACATTCTATGATTCCATGATTAACTCCCATTCAAGCTGCAGTGAAGAGCCAGGGCATTGGGAAAATGAATGGGCCAGGACTGAGACTTGGGCTGGCATGGGAGTAGAGAAAGAGTAGTCAAGGGAAGAATCCAATTTCAGGGCTTTTTCCAAGAGCCTTTGCTACAGCAAAGAGGAGATTCTTTTACATCCCTTAAATATAATAACTTTTTCTGTAAGACGAGATATGAAGCTCGTTCAGATCAGATCATATATTCTATCTCCTCAAGCAGAGGCTACCTTAAGCCAGCCCTACCTACTAACAGACTTAAACCAACTGAAAAATAATCATGTTTAAGTAATATTTCACATTTACTTGTAAATTTAAATGCTGGTTCAGATGTAAGAAGAAATTTAAATCAGAATTAATTACTTGGTTTTATCTTTGGAAATCAATATTTTCCGCAACGACAGAGGAAGGAACGCATGTCATTTAAATATGTAGTGTCAAGAAGTACTGCGTGTAATATGTAACTTCTGCAAAGGAATCAGATTGTATTTAACTAAAATGTATTCCATTAACTTCAGAAATGGAACAGACTAGGAAGTGCACAGGTCTAAATCCTTTGTTGAACTGGGTATTTGAAATACCAGTATAATTGCTGGCAGCTTAGTTTAATATTTCTTATACTTTTTGCAAGATTAATTTCATCTGCTATTTACTAATTTTAGATGATAATTTTCTTTTTAACCTATTGACAATGTCAACTTGAAGATGCAGGCTTCAATCCCACCTTAGCCATGTCTTTTCAAAATACCACTTCATTATGTAAGTGATTTGAACCACTTAGTATAAAACAGAGAAAGCACAATTCACAGTTTATCTGGGAAATGTGACAATAAAACCTCTCACAAATTATTCCAAAGGAATATTGCTAATGAAACTGTTATTTAGTATTTTAATGAAAATCTTAAAGTGTTTGACAAATACATTATAAAATATTGTACTTATTTGAAGAGCAAGGACATTAAATCCACTCTAAAATAAATTCAAAGTTCAGTAAAAAGTTGTAGCATTTAACAAGGGACACTGGGTGCATCAAATAAATGCATTGGTGCCAATGGTTTGCATATAATTAACTTTTTCTTTGATGAATTTTAAACATGAGGAATGGCATTAATTAAGTCTCACTGCCACTGCACTGGAATATAGCTTATTAGTGAAACATTCTTAGGTATATTATTACCATTTTGTCTGATAACTGGG